GCTTGAATTTGGATTTTCTGGCTTGTAGTGAAGTGGTTCCTTCCAGTCTCACGCTTAGTTCACTCCACATGGGTTCAACGAGGTCGCCGGGCCTGACCTAAAATCCGAGTGATGGTTATAGCAAACATGAGGTTTTGTGTAGATTATTACTGGCACTGAGCAAATAATGTGTGAAGAGAAATAACTAGTAGTGCCTGAAATGCCTGCATATTATGAGCTGTGTAAAAAAAAAAGACCAATTCGTTCAAATGCTCGCCTGTGTCATCTCAATTGTTTTGGAAGTTATTTTGAACGCAAACCGGGGGAGAATAACCTAAAGGCTCGCCCTCTCACCCGGAGTGATTGGCCTAGGCTAATCAATGATTATCAATCTGAACCCTGCATGATAGATAACTTTGGATTTATATAATCCATGAGAGGGTTAGCCCCTTTTGGCTACTCTCACCAGGTGTGCGCTCAAAATAACTTTCGATGAACATCCAGATAAACTTGTCCTCAATCTCACAGTAGTTAGAACATGAGCGAGAACTTTTGGTCAAAACAAAATGGCTTGATTTCAAAAGTGAAATAGGACTTCGTAGCATCTTTTGATTACCAAATTAGATTTAAAATCTACTTTACTTTCTGCTGTAACAGACATCATTTTTCTCTTTGTTTTTGTCAATTTGATCATCCACATCGATAGACAGTATTAAAAAATTAAAAAAAACAGGTCTTGTTTCGCCCGGGGTGAGGATAGTCAACGCTGGCAAGTCTCACCAGGGATAAGAGGTCGATCGTATTTTTTATTATTCTCTCCGGGATTGAGAATAAGCACTAGCCACTTCCTTAGCCTAGTACTAGATAGAAGTTAGCAGTTAAGTAATTAGTAATTAGGTAGCATATATTATCATTAGTATTTCTGGAGTAGATGTTAACACCTGGGAAGAAATAGCTGAGGACCGGAAAACAGGGAGGAATATTATAAAGGAAAGAACTAAAATACTAGAAAACAGCCTTAGAAACCACCAGGCTGAGAAGCGCCAACGACGAAAGGAAAACAGCGGAAATACAGAGCTTCAATCTACGACACTAACAATACTAACATGCAAGCACTACAACTGAATCTGCGCTTCAAACATAGGAAGAATTAGCCATGAAAGAAGCTGCTTGAAGACAGCCTTGAGACCATCTTAAGCTAAATTGACCGTCTGCTTAGAGGAAAAGAGCCATATATATTTCTTTATTAATTTATTGTTATTATTATAATTTAATTATTTCATACTTTCCGACTAATAGATCTAGCCTATAGTACTGTATGCACCCACTGCATAACAAAGAGGAAATATGTTTAAGTTTAGGCTTAAGAACTGTGTACATAGGTATACGTGGGGACTGAATAGATGAATGAGGCAGTGAACAACTTTGGCTGTGACTAAAAATGCTGTGAAGGGCAAGATATATCTGAAGGGAATGTGAATGGATCAGCGTCACAGACACCTTTGGACAGTATACTCGAGTGGTTTCAACCTTAGGCAGAGAATGTCATTAATATCCAGTGAGGACAGCCGATGCAAGTGTGTGCTCCTCTATGGCTGCGAAACTTGTAAGACAACAAAGACAGTGCTGAATAAAGTCCAGACTTTCATCAACAGATGTATGAGGAGTATCCTGAGAATTAAGTGGCAGGATAGAATAAGACATGAAGAGCTATGGGAAAGGACAGGACAAAAGGATGTAGAAGTAGAAATAGGACTAAGAAAGTGGCGTTTGATGGGACACACCTTCAGAAAGCCCAGCGGATACATCACAGGACAGTCACTGCAATGGAGTATGAGGGAGCACGAGGCAGGGTTAGGCCATGAGAGACATGGAGGAGATGTGTGGAAAGGGACATGAGAGCGATGAAGCTCACTTGGAAGGAGCTAGGAAGGATGGCCCAGGATAGAGATAAATGGAAGGAGCTTGTATGTGGCCTATACTTTGCCAGGGGTGAAAGGCAGTGATGATGATGATGATGCAGCCAATGCCGAGGTAGAGACACTGACAGAGGAGAACAGTGAACAGAGTGACTTAATCATCTTCACTGATGGATCAGCACAGCGAGGGGTCAAATCTGGATATGGGCTTTCAACGCCCGGTCCAGTACATGCCTATAGAGGAAGCCATCACAGAGCCCCTGAACTGGATTAAGGCGACAGAGCATCAGTCTGCCATCCTCGTCACTGACTCGATGAGTACCCTGAAAAAAAAGGAGAAACACATGATGTGTGCAGACTGGCGAGAGGTGATAGGAAGCAGCAGACTCATAAGGATTGTATGGATCTTTAGCCTTGGTCATGCAGAATGCGCTGATATTATTGTGAGCCAGCCTGCCAGACTGAGATTGGCGGCACCATGCAATTAGATCTGTCAACAGTCATGGTAGCATTGACAGCATAGTTCAACAACCACAGAGAAGATGAAGGCTCTACATCACACAATGAAGGGACTGAGGGAAGCTGGTGTCTCAAGAAGGTTATGGAGAGACAGCAGCCTGAGTGGAAATTCTGGTAACTGGCACTATCACTATCAGCAAGTGAACCCTTTCATTGATCCTGGAGAAGAGGGAGGAGCAGCTATGTCACCTGTGATGATACTGATACCTATTCTGCAATTAAGTAACCAAAGTAACTTTCCGAGGACTGTAAAAATAACAGTGTACATTGTAATCATAGTGGTACGAAAAAGTTGAGCAACAGCAAAAAGGGTATATTTTTAATTTTACTCCCTTACACAGGTGCACTGTGCTGGGGGCCGAACTGAAACTGCAGTATTTTCGATTTTGTGCTGCAGATCACAAATGTGATCCCTGTACTGTCGCAGATCAATTATTTTCAATAAAATTTCAATCCTAAATACCAAAACATCAAATTAATGGGGGGAAAACGGGGGGCCAAGCCCCCTGAAATCTTCTGATTGGTTCAAAGCATGGAAATTACTACGCAATAATGCTTTGTGTGGCATAGTTCGAATATAAACCATGAAATATAAATTTCAATTTGATATTAATTTGCGACGAATATGAAGTCACTATTCGTGTAAAACAGATAGAAATGAACGAAGAAAAGGGCTTTACAAAACACAAGCATGAGATGGAAATGAAAGTGTAAAAGAATACCACAAAGAGTGTGGCACAATAATCCAGAGGAATATCACCACTTAGCCATGTTGAAAAGATGCCAAAATCCTTGTGCTTAGACTAAGAGTAAGACTTAGACTAAAGTAAGACACACATGACATAATCAGAGGATGGAAACCTGAGCAACATGCTGTTGTTTGAATTTGGAAACAGAAAGGCTCCGAAAGGGATGGACAGATGCCATCTTTGCTCTGAGACAAATATGTCAGAGCTGTAGAACATAGCTGAGACTCAGGCATATTGTTCATGGATCAGGAGTATAAGTCATTTGACCAAGTCAGCAGAGGCAGGCTATGGCACTTTGTAAGAATATCATTATGGAATGAAAGACAGAACTAGGCTACTCCTTACTACCATCAAAGCACTAAAAGAACTAGCAAGTTGAACACTGTTGTTCCAAGTGACATCAAGTGTCGGAGAATTCTGTGTCTTATCACCATTACTCCTCATAGTCTCTATTGAGGACAAGGTAACACAAGAAGTAAACAACAGCTCAGAACAACTGACCGAACTGCTCTTTCTTGACAACCAGAGCCTCATACACCAAGAGCAGGACAGCCTCCAAGAACATTGTAAACAGAACAAGGCATTGGAAAAATGTGAAATGAAAATGAGCACTGCTACAAAGACAGGTCTAAAGTAATGAAGATCTCCAGAAACCAAAACCCATTCATTAAATCTGAGTCAACAACATACAACTGAAACAAGTACTAGAGTTCACATCAGACAGGGTAGTGGACTATTATAGACAGAGAAATTGAAACACTAGTATAAAAGGAAAATGCAGTCACATACCAGATAATACCAAGTATTACCCATCATTTCCCATCCACTCATTCCAATGGAGTCAGAGAACCAACTCATCAGATCAATCTTTACATACCAACTTTCTGCTACCACTGCCAAACCTAGACCCTCAACAAAGCGCAGCAAAATAGAATAACAGTATGCGAAATTAAATGAAATGAAAATGTCTCATGAATAGAGAACTGAAGACGGAGATATAGTTAGATAAAGTATTTTACTTTCACCCCTGTCTCATGTACAAGTATTAAATTATAACCCTTCTTTTCTCTTGTTAATTTTTATGTTTTACATGAATTAGGACTTTATATCATCACAAATGATTCGTTTTTGAGATATTTGACATTTTTATATGAACTTCCAACAGGCCAAGTTGTATAGTAATATTCTGCATGTTTTTAACAAAGCAGGTGGTTTCAGGGGACGTACAGTGTTCTCCTGTATTTCACTATAGTTGGATGCTTTTTAGAGATAGGTGTGTATGTCACCCTGATCTAAAAAATATGTGAGGGGTTTCAAGGGGCTTTTCTTCCCCTAAAATCAAACAAGGACCTGGGGGGGAAGAAAGTCAGCAATTTGAAGATAAGGAAGAAATTGTGTTTTAAACAAATGCTGCGCTACGCGAAGGACTCTGGCTAAAGCGGACATGGTCACTGCCTTTGACTGCTGGGTACATCGGATAAAAAAGTGTATTGAAATCAGGGGTTATGTTTTGTTGAATAGAAAGCATGTTTTTGTTGGTATGTGTACAAAATTTCTTGTCTGTAAAATAAAAAAAATTGTTGATTATACACAATAAGGAAATTTACTTCTGGAACAGTCCTTGTTGTAGCAGAAACAGCTACTTGTAGCAATTGCTGGAAAAAAATGTGCTGTACCCAACAAACTTTCAAGAGATAGTCCCAGTAAAAAAAAACACCCAAAAAAGCAAAAAACAAAAGTAACTTCTAATTTTGTGTGTAATAAAAAATGTCATGGATGGCAGAGTTAAAAATGAGCTGTCTCAACCATTTTGTTCTATTGTTTCCTTTGACAGATAGAGATTTAAGGGTGCCACCATGCTGCCCGTCCGTCATTTGACATGGTGCATGCGGAAACACATCCGTCTGCTGGGTGTCAACCGACAAAACATTGCCTTGACCAAGGACTTGCCAGTCTTTTCCAGTTTCAAGTCATGTTTTCTGCCACCGACTTCAGGTAAGATTTTTTTTAATGGGATTTTTTTTTTTACGTCGTCTAAGTGAAAAGTGGTTAATTGCTTCACCATGGCTCACAGGAGACCCAAGTTCTATTTCTGCATGGGAAAATTTTCTATCATGTTTCTTGGTCTTTCTGCAGGGAAGTGGTTAGTAGAGGGTTCCACTGGTTTGTCTTGATTATATCTTTACTTGTCACTTTAACTTTGTGTGTTTGCCTGGCTCTTTCCCAGCATTAAATGACTGTTATTATGTTCATGTGCTTCTCTTTTTTTGCACAATGTGAAACTGGAGTGTGGCTTGATATCAGAGTAGACTCGTCTTGTTCCTCTTCTTTTTCCAACTGTATTTTTTCTTCATTACCTGCTCTCCCCTTTTGTTCTACCTCTTGTTGCTATTGTACAGATGTATGACATAGATATCACTTTAATGCGAACAGATGACTTCCATATTTTTTTATTTTCTTTGTCAGATTTTTCCACCAACCATTCATCTTGTGAGGAACATGCAGACGTGGCCAGAGATGCAGTCGACAGCTCTTTGCCACAAAAGCTGTGGAAGCGGATGAGGAAAGGTGATCCCGCTCTGAAGGAACTTATCCAGTTTCCCAACACCCAAAGCAAGATCAGCCAGTTGGCAGATATCCTGGATTGTGATGAGTCCTTGGCAACAGAGTTGGTGAAGCGCAATAGCCCATTACTGGTGTGCAGTGAGGTTGTTTTCCAAAAGATTAAATTGATCAAAAGTTATGGATTCTCTGCAGCTGACATTATTTCCAATCCTTCAGTTCTTCATCGCACTTATGAGGTTCTTGATAGCAGATTTCAGAGATTAAAAGAAATTGGGCTGTTAAATTCGGTGAGCCTGCGTGCTCTGAAAGAACCGGACAGCATATTTGAGGCATATTTTGAAAGGCGGGCCGAAGCATCAAAACTTCTTGAAGGTTTTGCGTCTCCCACTGATTTCCTTTCGGAGCAATTGAACTGTGACCTTACAACTATGGAAGAACTGATGAGAACAAACAAGTTTTTGTGTTCCATTTCTCTGGTGCTTGTGAAAAACAAAATGGATGTGATCCGACGTTGTGGTCTCAGTCCTGATGTTGTGAGGGACAATCTGGGCATCTTGCAGCACACATCAGTGCCTGAACTCGAGAGACGTCTACAACTTCTTCAAGGCAAAAACTTTCAATCTTCGGAGAGGAATCCGGGGATAAATCATCTGCTCACTTGCAGTATTGGGGACTTTTCGCGTGCGTATAAACTTCTTTCTGAACGCCAGGATGCTCTTGAAGGGTGTCGGGATAAAGCACACTATCTCCAGCTTCGACTTGGATGTTCAGAATTGGAGGCTGGCCGGATGAAAAGCTCCAGCCTCCTCAACAGAATGTCGGAGATGAAGCTGCGGAAAATGCTGGACTTCTTCCTGAATGAAGTGCAAGTGCCATCAGAGTTTGTAGTACAGCACAAACGGCTTATGACTTATTCCGAGTCCCGCCTTCGCCATCGATGGCAGGTGCTTCGTGATGCAGGAGAGGCGGATGTAAGCTCTTTAGCTGGGAAGCTTGATCTGCCTGAAAGCCAGTTTGAGAAGCTTTATGGTGGTGATTCGTAGCTAGGCTCTACTGTGGAAAATTGCCGAAAAACTTGAGTCCCAGTGTCTGCCTGATCGCCACCTTAGAATTACTAAATTTTATCTGAAATTTTTGGCTGTTTAGACTTACTAAAACCATGAGGTCAAAAACCAAATGCTCTATAAAAATCATAAGATTGTTCAGAGTCATTATCAAGATATTCAGAGAATTGCGTTTGAAAAAGCTTGATATGTTGGGGAAGAAAAAAATTTTTGCGTCAAATTTCTTATGTGCTCTGCAGATAGAACCTTGTAATTTAAGGTAGCATTATGTATCTTGGTATGAGCATAGCCCTTATAATGAGTTGTGGCGGGGTACGTCAAGAACCACTACCAGTCTTTTTTAACTCTTGAACTGCACGGAAAATCACAATCACATACAAATGATACAGCGCTATTGTTGCCTGCCTACCAAAAAAACTTGTGCTTGTCCTTCCAGCTGATGTTATGATGCTTTAAAATGTGATGCTTGGGAATGGTCTTCTTGGGGGAATAGCTTAGTCTTTAGAGTGCCATATAATTGTTAGTTTTTGTTTTAATGGGGGGGCAGCTCCTCTCAGGTGATTGGTCTAGTGTGGGAGATCGCTCGATGGAGCTCACTGAAGGCCTGATTCAGGGAACTGAGCATCAGCTGTACCTGATGAGCCTTATCAGTGATGAAAAATGCATGAATGTGTGTGTTTGGGAGACCATCTCGTCTGCAAGATGTTCAAATACTTTGTACCGGTGTCTGTTACGTAGCAGTTAGGCGCTCCGCTGTCACTCGCAGGAGACCGAAGGCCAATTCCGGAGTGGGGAGACGTTTTGACAGAGTATCTGGGCTTGTCTACTAGGATGTTGTATCCCTCTCAGTCTTGGTAGTGCCTGACAGACAGGGTCAGAAGCCCGCCTCCTATATTTATATAATCTAAATTGCGTCAAACAGGGGTGTAAAATTACCTTCATTAAAAAACAAAACTGTTGGAAGCAAGATAATAATTGTGACAATGATTGCCTATGAATTATGATCTGCTGTGATATGCCGGAGTGGTAATCCAGTGTTGACTGAAAATGAGGTCAAGACAAGATGCCTCTAGGCCAGTTCCAAGAGTGAGGTCTTTGATAGGATGGGGAGGTAAGTATACTTAATAATAATGTACCTGCATCTGTTGTGTAGGTATTAGGTGCTTCACGGTCGCCCACAGGAGACCTGAGGTCAATTCCCAAGTGGGGAGATCGGTCTTTGTGCTGGGATTTTGTATACCTCTTAATCTTGTTTTTTTCCCCCTGATAGGCAGGGTCGGAAACCTGCCTCCTTAATTATGTAAATTATGTCGATGGGGGTGTAACAAACACTTACATTCTTTGTTAAATGTGAAAGAAAGTTTCATGTACCCTGTCTCCTCTCATTTCTTTGCGTACTTTGAGGTGTCATCAGCGCGCTCACAAAGCACAGGCAGCTCCTCAGCTGCTCCCGTCTCTTCCTTGTTTCCATCAAAACCTTCCAATGACTGCCGTATTGTTTTACAGTTTTCCCTAAGTCTATCAGTGTCTCGTCCCAATCATTGATGAATTTAACATGGTTTTTGTGAATGGCCTCTTCCAGAAGTTTGTGATGCTTGAGAATCACGCTGAGGAGAATTTGTGGATATGGAGATGCTACGCGGTCCAAAGGAATATCTAACAGTGGTTTTTGGAGGCAGTTATTGTTCTGAACCGCTTCCTTTTTGTCATTCCCATGACCTTGAATGAAGACTGCGTTGTTGGCATGAAGTTGTGACAGTTGACACTTGAAGAGCGCATTTCCCAAATCGGCGTGAGACACTTTCATATTCTTTGCACTCTCCTGCCAGGTGATCTTTTCCTCCATATCTGATAGGCCTACATGGTTTTCTAATTCTTTATATTTAGACGAAATCTGGCCCATTAAAAAATTGTTTAGGCATTGTGGTAGTGTCTATATATAATATATGTATGAGTGAACTGTTCTTAACCCATAAGGAGTTTGGACTGTATTGGGCAATACTTGTAAGTTTTATTGAAAATGCTGATGTTTTTCCTAGTCTTTTGGATTCTATTACATTTGTCGTTTTAAATCTTTTAAAACAATTTTTAACTTCATGCTCGTTCGCATCATTCGTTCGCCAAGTGGGAAACTCTGTATGGGTGCTGGAAGGGTTTATGACACCACTGCACGGGGTAATAAAAGGAATACCACCTGGTGAAGATGAGCATGCGGCCACTGGAGTTGTTTGTTAAGTCATACATTTGAGTTCTTTACAATGAGGCTCATCAATGTTGAGGCCACAGAGGGTTTGATGTGAGCCCAGGTTCCACATCCACTTAGATTCTCTTTAGAAGGTTAAGATTTTCTTTGGTAGGGTTTTTAACAATCTCTATGCCCTGAAGCTTCATGTCAGTGGTTTCGTTGTGGCCAGGGCTATTTAAAAGTTGGCCAACTGGTGGTTAGGAGAGAGCTTTCCATTTGCGGCACTCCAGTTTTAGAATAGTATATTTATGGCACTAGTGATTTTTGATAATTTTCTTCATAGGACATTTGCGGCACCACTCGTTTTATTCGATATGTTGATAGGAGATTTGCGGCACTGCGATATGATTTATATTTTCCACATTCGCTATCGAATATGCTCTTCATTGAAACATTTCCCCTCTGCTTTACAGGCTTGGGACTGACTCTCTATGAGGCCGCATTAGAAATGTTTTAATGAAGGCTGTATAACTTGGTAAAAATCTTATACCTATATGGTGTTTAGAGACGTTGCAGGCAGTCCAGTGTAGCAAATGGGTTGGAGATAAACTTTCCGATCAATGGTTCCATCAGCAAACTGTTTCTTTGTTTGTTCTATCCATGCTGTCTTCTTTCTTACTGATGCTGTCTCGCATCTCGCCATGTCACCAGCACCTCTCATCTTGAACCCGCTCTCGAAAATAACATCCTCCTGTTGGTTGACAAGTTCGAACACTGTGGGATGTGCAGAGTAGAACATACTGTTCAGCTGCTTCGCCACCGTTTGTTGTTCTCTGTTGCAACCGCTGCTTGCCCAAACTGTGGGTGGAAATAATGAAGAGCTGTGGATGTATAATATGTATGTCTTGAGATGGTAATCAAGGTAGGGGTCGATTCTTTCGTCGGCAGGAGCCACTAGGGTGATGTCGAAGGCAAAACTATTTTTAAAAAGTCCATGAAGTCCAAGAATGGAAGTTCAAAGGTCAGTTTGAGAAAGCTGCCAATTTCTTTTTCTTGGTCTTTGAATTCTGTAGCAAGTCCCAGTTGTTGGATTTTTCTCCATCAGAATTGCTTGAGATGGAACGAACAGCCTCGCAGTGTGACGTCTCCTAGAACTTTTCTTGCAGAGGGAGTTTGTTGTGAGTTTACACGGTGCTGTGTACTGAGAATTCACACAGTCTCAATCTGAAGGGTATCTTGTGCAAAATGCAGTAGATCCACAGAATTCTGGATTACACATCTCCGACTCTGCACTGCACGGAAGGCTGCTTGCTTTAACAAGCCTCCCGGTGCATCACAGGGATTCTTCCCATGTCGAGCACCAAAAAAACACCTCTCTATACTGATACCACAATCAACATACCTGGACAAATACAAAAAAGGAAGTTTAGACTTGTACTGAGAACTGCACCCGTCACTGAAAATAACAAGTTTAGACATTCCAGACAAACCACACACATAATTTACAACTTTTCTCAACATGACGTCAACCATGGAAGAGCTGTGAGCCAGAACATCTGACACATATGACCAGTTCTCGGTCACACGCAAGCCACAAGAGCATCTATAGTACAATACACATGGATGCACCGTGACTTGCGTATACCCAAAGTAGGCTGACTGAGGCTGATCTTGCTGTCGACACAAGTAGTTTTCAGCAAAATCCATTGTCAGAACAGCCCAGCCATCTGGAACATCTGCTACCAGAGTCCTGTACTCACGGCTCTGCCACCTGTGAACAAAATCATGGAGAGGCAACTTCCCCAAATCAACCTTGAGCTGTTCACACATTTCAAGTAGAGTGCCATTCTTCTTCACCTGGTCTATACGAGAAGACCCATTCTTGCACACTCGCTCCCATCTCTGCCACTCAACTACTTTCTCCCGATCAACATTCTCCACCAAACAATCAACTGCATTCACTCCACATTCATCACATTCACGCCGCATACACTTAACATTCTCACCACAAAGAGTCAAACTAATCAATTCTGACAGTGTGTCCACTCTCGAAGATATAAAACTGTTAAGAACTTTCATTATAAGCATAGGATTCAAACATATTTCACAAAGACATTGACGAAAGGGAGTCTTTGTGAAAGACAAAACATTTTTGGGCCTCTTTCGAAAGAAAGTCGACCGCGAAATAAGAGGCCCATGCTCTGAAGTGAAATCTTTGTACAAAGATTTGACAGAACTGCTGAGGATTTTCCGAGTCCCGTGCTTTGTAGCACCTTGCTTCCCTGGGATGTGAACGGATCGATCTCGGAAAAAACCCTCAGCAGCTCCGTCATCTTTAAACTTTCTTCGTTTGTACAAAGAAGACACATCAGAGCCAGCAAAAAGTCGTTTTACAACAAGGCTTGACCTATCCCTCCTCCTCTTCAAAAAATTACCCAAATCTGGCCCAGGAGTTTGACACTTTGAGGGGGAGGAATAAGACAAACCTTGTTGTAAAAGTTTCTTGGGATCCTTCCTAAAGAGGGACTTCATAAGGCACTTCAAAGAAGGCAACAATTTCCTACCAAACCTCTTCTTCACTCTTGAAACCGTGGAAGCACTCACTCCTGTAGAAGGAGCAGGCTCTTGCGCTGGTGGGGTCTTCGGTAACGGGACATCCCTTTTCCGCTGTAAATAAGCCCGGTTGCGCTCCCTCTCACGTCTCTTTTTCTGGGAGCTCATGTTGGCGCGCCGCTTCTGTTGGGCCAGACGGTTCTTGGCGCGCCGCTCCTCAGTTTTTCTGGCGTCTGCCCGGGTCTCTAGAGGCCTTCCCACCTGCACACTGCCGTCGGAGGTCGCGGCAGCCTTTGCCTTCTGACGTTGTCTGAAAGACAAAGCCAAGAAAGTGTCATGTGTTGGGGAAGCTGATAATTTCTCCTTTTCTCTCTTCACAACTTTGTATTCTGAGAGCACTAAATGACAATTATTGTGCCAATGCGCTCTTTACTTTAACCCTATCCGTACGTCGTGTTTTTTCTATCGTATCCACACAACGTGTTCCTACCAAACCTCTTCTTCACTCTTGAAACCGTGGAAGCACCCACTCCTGTAGAAGGAGCAGACTCTTGCGCTGGTGGGGTCTTCGGTAACGGGACATCCCTTTTCCGCTGTAAATAAGCCCGGTTGCGTTCCCTCTCACGTCTCTTTTTCTGGGAGCTCATGTTGGCGCGCCGCTTCTGTTGGGCCAGATGGTTCTTGGCGCGCCGCTCCTCAGTTTTTCTGGCGTCTGCCCGGGTCTCTAGAGGCCTTCCCACCTGCACATTGCCGTCGGAGGTCGCGGCAGTCTTTGCCTTCTGATGTTGTCTGAAAGACAAAGCCAAGAAAGTGTCATGTGTTGGGGAAGTTGATAATTTCTCCTTTTCTCTCTTCACAACTTTGTATTCTGAGAGCACTAAATGACAATTATTGTGCCAATGCGCTCTTTACTTTAACCCTATCCGTACGTCGTGTTTTTTCTATCGTATCCACACAATGTGGGGAACTCTGCACCACCACTTTCAAAGAGGAACTCGTTAATCTGATCCATACGCTTTGCATTGCAGTTTGTCAAAATGATTTTTTGAGAAATACAGTACTGAAAGTTTCAAAGAGACCTTCGTACTAGAAGCATTCTAAAAAGTGAAGAATACACCCCAAGTATACAAAATGACCCCAGGGCGTACGGATAGGGTTAATAAAGCTTATTCCGACTAGTCTTCGGTGTGTGTGTGTGTGTGTGTGTGTGTGTCTAGTTTTAATTTTTGACCCGAATTGGCTCTACGGGTGATGTGCAAAACTTCATACAAGCATAGCCATCACTCAAAAGGCGACATGTGAGTAAACATGAAACTAAGGAATACATTCATACAAGACAAGGATTAATTTTGAACAAATAGGCATACACAACATGGGTTAGAATGGGTGATAAATGACAGATCGTGATAAAGCTAAACAAAACAGGCACCCCATCATTGCTGATACATCAGTCATAAAAGCACACCACCACCCGCCCCCCCCCCCTCAAACGCTTTCACTTGAATACGACTGATCTTGTTTTTACGTGTTACATTATTGTATGAGATCACATGACTAACAAGGCAAGGTCCTGAAAAGTCAACGATGTGAGTAAATGTTTCTGAAGACGACATTATGTTAAGCTCACTTGATGAATGCAGCCTGACGCAATCTGGCTTTCTCGCGTTCCACAGGCTTATCCTCCGGGGTTGCCTTTTTCCGGGCCAGGCGTTTCCGAGCAGCATTCTTGTCCTTGTACTCCGCATGCTTCAGGGGGTCGGCTCGAATCCGAGCCCTGTACGCAGCACACTGCTGCTTTCTCTTTTCCTCTTTTGTGGGCTGAGGGATGCTGTCCTCAGCGAGCTTTTTGTGAGCTCTACGAGGGCGATCTGTTGAAAATAAAGTTGAATGATTAAACTATACTCATAACCAGAAAGGGTTGGTTAGGAAGGGGGGAGATTTTTTTACGCCAGAATTCTGCCGTGAAAATCTTGGCACAGGAAGGAGCTCACGGAGTTCCCATGGCTGTTCCTGTGAGTTGAAGAAACATTTGGTCGTTGAAGTTGAAGGAGAAGTTGTTTAGTGTAATGACTTCTTCCAGGAGTTTACAATTTTCTCTTATTTGACATGTGGTGTATGTGGTGAGGCTAGAGTGGGCTAAATGGCAGGCTTCAACTCCTTCTGTGTGTGATATGTTGTTGTACATGTCTACAACCTCGATAGCCAAAATGTCATCACCTTAATCTACAACAACAACAACAACACGCGCTGTCTCTCTGGAGGCGGTGTCTGCTTGAGTTGGCATCCTTTCGTTTGACCTGCTTTTCTCTGGGATATTTTAACTTGTATTTTTCCTTTACCTCCTCTTTTTGACCTTGTAGTTTTTGGAATACTATTTAAGTTATTTTCTCGAAGTCTCCTCATAACGCTTGGGGGTATGTAAACATGGGTCTAGGGTCGAAAGGACAACAGAATGTCTGGGGAGGAGGTTGTTCTTTTGTACTATTTAGTAAATACACTGTCTGTGTCAGAACCACAGGCTGGGAGTCCATTTGGAAAAAAAAAGTGTTCACTCGTCAAAACATTCTTTGGTCATTTTTACAAGAGGAGACCTGAACCGAAACTGACCAAATCAAGCAGACCAGCATTGACTACACCCAGTCCACCAACGCAGAAAAATTGAAATATCTTTTGTAGTGTTCACTCTTTCAACTTCCAAGGTTCGGTGGCAGTCGTTGCCGGTGTGAATGCTCTGAGGAAACGCCTATTGCGTCTAGTGACAGGTCCAGAGCCATCAATTTTGACAACGTACTGGTTGGGGTCCAGCACTTCAGTCACCAGCCCTGTGCGGTCCCATTTCTTAGGTTCATTCCCAGTTTGATTCTGTATGAAGCATCTGTCACATGGGGACAGGGGTGGAAGAGCTTTGACATGTTCATTTAATGTCTCTTCTGTTCTGGTGAAACGTGCTCGGAGAGCAGCCTATTTTTATACCCAGGCCTCTCGCCATAGGTGATTGATGGCCGGATTAGAGCCTTCTTTCATCTCTAATAATGGCATAGTCAACGCAATGATTATGACCCTTGGCGTCGCCTTCTACTACCATAAACACTACCACAGGGTGTTATAATATATCCATTGAGGCAGTGGGTGGTGTCTATAGAGAGGACCTCTTGATAAGTCTTGATACTTCCTTATGTGCGACGTCTGAAAGAAAATGATGGAGATTGTCCCATCCTGTGCAAGAGCTGAGCGTGAGCCTCAGAATCACCGTCCACCATTTTCTGTAACTGGGCTCAAATGTGTCCTTCAATAGAGAAACCTTCAGTCTTTTCTTTCTGTATCTTAACACGCAGTTTCCAGATATCACGTAGAACCATTTGGACCTCTGTGGGAGAAAGAGGAAAGCATATGCAATTTTTGTGAAAAGAAAAAAAGACCTGTGGCTTCAGCTTCTGTGGTGCAAGAATTAGAGGCCCCTTGGGGTTGGCGAGGATTTCCATAAGTACCTCTGGCTTCATCTTCCTGGCGTCTAAAGTATCTAAGGGGAATACCCTGGACCTACAAACGGAATTTTAGTTTTTTTCCAGATAGTTCATCCTCTGTAATGATGGTACGAGACTTCTGGCCTAAATTTCGTCATCATTGTCAACCTCTGGCTGCTTCAATGACTTCAGTATCTTTGCGTCCACCACAGAAGCAGTCGTGCTGGTGTTGCTTCTCTTCTGGGACCTTTTGTAGGGCACAGAAAGTGGTTGTAGAGATGGACAATTGGGCCTATCATTGGTCATCAGAATAAAGCTTGTGATGAAGCTATAACTACTATAAGTGTCAAAGAGGTGGCGTCGGTAGCCTAGTGGTTAGGCTACCGGACTCGTAATCGTGAGATTGCGAGTTCAGGGGTTCGAGCCTCAGCTCCGTCCGACGTTGTGTCCTTGGGAAAGGCACTTTACATGAACTTCCCACTTGGCTCGGTCCTACCGGAGATGGACGTTAAACTAGGAGGTCCCGCCCCTTACATAACCTAACAGTTTTGATAGGGGCGTTAAACTTAAACCATTTCACTATTTTACCAAAGAAGTTGGCTTCGTCATCTCGGGCGAAAAATCTCATGCGACCCAGACTTTCCCTTTGTGTTCTACTGATTTGATTTCATCAGTTTCAACGTCACTCTTCGTCACTCCTGCCATAAGATTAATAAGAATACCGCTAAAAAAATAGATTGAAAAAAAAAATGAAAATAAAATAGAATTTATTTTTTAAAAAAAATAAGAACACCACGTGGCATCACGATATTTGATTGGCTTCCCTGTGTCTGATTTCCAAGCCGATTTGATGGTTGAATCAAAGTGGTCGTCTTCAACTTCATCAAGTATTCTTCACTGCTTGGATCGCCATGTCTCGGTGTTCTTTACCACAGGCAAAGATATGCGCCTTGAGGACCTGAAAGTCTGCAGACCTTACAGAAAAAAATCATAACCCCTGATAAGAAATAGCGTTATTTTCTTGTCCTACTAAGTGTGACTGCTAAGACTTTTGTCGGCATCGATTCCAAAGTGGAGATACCCCATTTAATTTTTCATGACGATCCCTAACTGTGGGCAAAGCAACAAGAACAGTGTTTTTCTGGCACTTTGGTCTTTCTACATTGGCATTGTCCTCAGCCTCAAGATGACTCTTCCAAATCATTTGGAAGAGTCATCTTGAGGACATTCTTGTCATGACTGCCTGACAATTTCATGCCGACATCGTTGTAGGGTAATGGTCCCTCAGGCCACGTTAACATATATCCTATTTGTTGTAGGCATCGAAAAGAGGATCAATCAATGAAGATGAATTTACTTATCTGGCCAAGTGCTCTTTTGACTCTGTCCTGTTTTCCTCTAATAAGAAAATAAAAAAAACTTTGGTTCTACTCGGACAAAATCTGATACTATCTCTCTTGGGAAAATTTCTAATGGATGTCTCACCTTCCAAGAGGAGATTCCTGCCTTCTTCACATGTTTTCTTTGGGGTTTTCCCTGACGCCAACTGAGCCGAAGCTCTTCCGACGTGGACAGAGTCTGCTGTTTTGTCAGTTTTGACTGCTTAGCCTCTTTTGCCTTATTGTAGATAACCTGTCTTCCACACATGAGAAACTTATGCAGTTTCGAGCGCCGTAAAACTGAAACTTTGGTTTGATCCCAAAAATCTTTTGCATTTTGATCAAAGAACTTACCCCATCATTATCATGCAACTGCTCTGAATACTGCTTCCTCTACTATGTCACTTTCTACAAAACATTCTTTGTTACACCTATCCCAAATAAGTTTATTCCAACATTCATTGTTGTTCCGTGAAAACATTTTGACAACAAATTTCTACCCCTTGTGTCTTTGAATGCTGACTCTGTGGTTTTGACAATGGTATCAGGCAGGCCATGTCTATGGCTGTTTTTCGTTGGGTTTATCATGGTATTTTCAACAATTTATAGGACATTTGGAATGATTCCTCTCGCTAATCTTCACTAGCTCCTCTAACAGAGTTGGAATGGTTGTGTCCGTCCTTTCTGTCTGCTTTATTTCAGTGTTTTGCTTTTAAAAAGAAAACAAATCTCAGTGTATCCCGCTCTGCCTGGGTTGGCCCCGACAGGCAGGGTCGGAAGCCCGCCTCCCAAATGATCTAAATTATGTCGATGGGGGACGTAATAACACCTTTAATATATGTTTTAGATAAGTTTTTTTTTCTAACAAAGTTACTGTATTGTCAAAGCTAGTTCACAAGAAAAAAAATTGTATCTGCCCAGGTTGATTCCCCCCCTTAACTGAATTTTTTTTTTTATAGCGATGACATCGTTTTCAGAAGTTTTCGTGGTAAATGTGAGATGGACGACTTTCCCCAAATGGACGTCTTACTTGTCCCACTCTCCCCTATGTTGATGGGGGGTGGAAAACGTCAACGTACTTTGCTATCAGTCAGCAATTTCCGGTGCTACAATGTGATTTGATTTTGATTGCCTTCTCTTGGGGCCTACTGTTTTTGTTCCATATATATATATATATATATTTTATATTTTATATATATATAATATATATATATATATATGCAAATTGTATTGTTGTTGATTTTTCTGATACTATATTGTATTGTGTCTGTTAACTGATTTACATTACAGTTCACCTTATGTGTAGACGTGTGTGTGTATGCGTGTGTGTGTGTGTGTGTGTGTGTGTGTGTGTGTGTGTGTGTGTGTGTGTGTGTGTGTGTGTGTGTGTGTGAGAGAGAGAGAGAGAGAGAGAGAGAGCGCGCATGCTGTCTTACATGTGCCCACTGTACGATAGAACGAAATAAAACACTTATCTAAAACAGCATCGTGTGTCTGTGTCTTTACATAATTAATTTGTTTGTTTGTGTGTGTGTGTGTGTGTGTGTGTGTGTGTGTGTGTGTGTGTGTGTGTGTGTGTGTGTGTGTGTGTGTGAAGTTCTATCCCGTATAGCTGCTCTTATACGGTGTGTCCATATACGGATGGGGTCGGGCCGATCGTCGAACTCGGTCGCCTAAAAAACAAACGTGTTTATTTTCAGTTTCAGGCGACCGAGTCCGGCGATCAGCCCGATCCAGCCGTAATGGGCACCCTGTATTACATTCATGTAGTATGTAGCCTAGATCCGGTGGGATTTTTAAAATGATAGCATTACATGTGCGGGGGGTTGGAGGGCGCCACTGCTAGGTCCTACTTCTTTACTTTCCCTATGCTGTTTTTGTCTGTCTTACTTTTTTTTTCCCCCAGCGCTAAATAACCATTATTGTGTCCATGTGTTCCTCTTTACTGGAATAAACAAGCATTACATGTGTAAACATCTGTGCATGTAGGGTAATCGTCAGGTTTTTCGACTTAGGCAGAAGACCTGAGTTCAATTCATTCAATTCATGTGAAGGTAGAATTTTTATCGAGTATCTCGGTCTGTCCCCTGGGATGTTGTATCTCTCTCTGACAAGCAGGATCGGAAGCCCGTCTATAAAACATTATCTAAATTGTGTCGAAGGGAGCGTAACAATGCATGCATATAAAACAATATTCGCCCTGATTGAGAGATAGAACTGGCTTTTTTCACTGGCTCTAAACTTAGACAAATACACTATATTATTATTATGGAGGCCTACATTTTGTACTCCGTAGTGGCACATCAAAATCAAAGTGAGTGGGTGGTCGGAGGGCGTCACTTGTAGGTTCTGCTTCTTTATTAGCTAAATGACAATTGATGTGGTGGCACTTATATGGCCTTATTGTGTTGCAAGTGCCGTTAAACACTTATAAAAGCAAACACCGCTTGACTTGCCTCTGCTCAGAAAACAAATTAACGGCGTTTGTGGTTTTACGGTACGGCGAGTTCGATTCCTGTGCTGGGAATTTTATTATTTTTTACTTGGGTTTTTCCATCTATCTGCTGGCACACTGCACAGGGAGTGTCGATCAAAATGTACTAAATAGTGTCGATGGGGACGTGAAATATCGATTACATGTACATGTATTATAGTATAGTTCAGAAAAATAGACTTGAAACGTTTTGATTTTTATTTAGTTTGTTTGAATTTTTTTTAAAAACAAGAGCAGCCAACAAGTTCAAAGAGCGTCGATTTATCGAATAAAAAAACATGTCTTAAGCCATAGCAGAATACGTATCATGTACAACAAACAAGAGTTGAGTAAACATGGAAGAACGGGCGTTCTGTGAAATACGGTACCCTATAATTTGCTGTAAAGAAATTCGAGACTCGCATTTGGCCTGCACGCATACGCACACACGCGCGCGCGCACGCACACACACACACACACACACACACACACACACACACACACAAAGACACTCCCCCCCACACACACACTCCCGAACTAATTGTCGATACGAGTATGAGAGTACCATGACAGAATCAAATATTACATGTATATAAATGGACATGAAATAGCCGTGCAAAATAGACATTAAATACTGAAAATATTATTGGAACTGACCGGGAAAAAATCAGTAACAGTAATATATACGTGTGACATCGTGGTGAAATCAGGCGCTCATCAAAATAATGAAAACGAAGAAACATACATTTTTCGCCCGTTGGACTATTCTTATTTTGTGGAGCTAGGTTTTTTTCTCTTTTTTATATATTTTTTTATTTTATGATGGACTCAACCTCTTTTATTATCCATTAAAAATCATTTCTGTGTTTATTATATTGAACAGGCGCCTATTGAAAAACGTTAATCAAAGGCAACTAAATAATATAGGACCTAGGCCTAACTAAATGTAATACTTATGTGCTTTCCCAAGAACATTGAAGTTTTAGAGTCACCAAACTTTGGGAAACCATTTTCTCGCTGATTTTTCCTAAGACATCAGTCGCCCCCGTCTCCCTCAACTGCAAATATCTCGACTTCTATTCAATATAAATAGAGACGGGGTTTTTTTTTAATTAAAAGAAAAGCAAATGAAGATTTAAGATAATAAACCAATAACTCCATAGGTCCCAAAATTGATGAGCGCCTGATTCCACCATGTCATGACACATTGATCTATATCGTACAAAACGCATCTGCCTAAAAACAGTTGGAGGAACGATTTTCCAGTTCATGTATCCAAAGTGGAAGTGAATTATGGACTGAGAAAACGCTGAAAGTGGACTTTATACGACATGACCATGTTCGTTGTTTTCCTTTCACAAAACATACGATGCACGAACTCAATCTTTGGTAGAGTAATTATACAGATAACATTAACCATATTACCGTATATGTATTATTATGTATCTCTGAAAGAAAAAAAAATCATACCCGGAAGTGTTGGCCCCAAATGTCCTTTCAAGTATGGAAACATTAAGAAAAACGTTTACAAAAAATAAACAAACACACAAACAAAACCATGAAGAAAAAAATGTACTGGGTATATGGTACAGGTGGGTCTAATTATTGCTTAAAATACATGTAAAGGCAGACATCTGGTCCCAGCAAAGTAAATGTTTACTTAGTTAACTTAGACAGAGCCACAAGAGAACTGTCGACATTCGACCAACAACTATGACGTCATGCAGCCGAGCGTGTCACAAATATCTCATGTAATGATACCAGATGGTCCCAGGCTTAACTACCTGTGTCCCTTAATTGCATTGGATTGAGAGCCATATATATATATATACATATATATACATATATGTGT